AAAGACAGGCGCCGCGCCGTTCCTCGAGCGCTGCCTTCTCTCATCGGGCCGGTGCGCAAGAGGCGTGGAGGCGCCCGTCGTATGCGACGCGGTAGTCGCTAGCGATGCCGTGCGGGTGGATGCCAATCACCACGGGCTGCGACGCGGGCCGCGAGCGCAGCTCCTCGCTCACGTGCAGCCTCAGCCGCAGGAAGCGCCGCAACGCAACGATGCCCCAGTCGTGCTTGGCAAAGTCCTCCCAGGGCATCCCGCTGCGTAGGTCAGGCCGTGAAAGGACGCGCGCAAAGAGGAGCCACAATGCCTACCCGCCACCGGCCGGTGGTGACACACACGCACTTCGCTGGACGCGGCGGCGACCGAATGCCGATGGTAGGCCGTGAGAGGGAGCCAGACCAGCGGCCGGAGCCAGCAGGCGACGGCGAGCAGGATCGGCGATCCGAAGAAGCAAGGGTACACAAAGTTCTGGTACAGCGCGCTTGCGACCAGAAAGCGCGCGCCCTCGGCAGGCTGTGACGGCTGCCACAGCAGGCGCGGCAGCACCGCGACGACGGCGAGGGCGAGAGCGAGCGGCGGCCCGGGCCAAGAGGAGAAGGCGCAGACCCAGATCGGGAGTGAGAGGAAGAGCACGGGAGGGATGAACCGGACTAGACTGCCGCTAGAGCCGTGGACCGAGGCGTCGATGGTCAGCATTCCAGCGAGGGGCGAAGCGCCCGAGGGGCGTCAGTTACACTGTGAAAACAGCTGACGCAGTCTCGCCGAGGCCTGGCGAGGTACTCCCACGCCTGGGTTTTTGTCTGCGCCCAGGCAAACCGCGAGACGCGAGTCGCAACTGGCCCGCTGTGCCAGAGCAACCGAGTCGCCACGCCGAGGTGGTAGGTGAGCAGCGCACCGCAGCCCGAGAAGCTGAGCGAGAGGTCAAGGCTCATGCCGAGCACGCTGCCGGGGGTTGCAGTCAGGCTGCAAATCGGGCACACAGGGCCGAGCGTTTTTGATCTCTGGATCTGTGGACGCCCGCGCCCGCCGCCTCCCGAGACTGAAACAAAAACAAAGGAAATCAGCCTGCGAGAGAGGCACTGCGCGCCGCTGACCTCATGTGGGGATGTGTGCCGACACCAATACTGATCTAAAACCTGGAAACCCTTGTTCAAAGCCGACCCTAAGCGCCATCCTTCCTGCTCTCACCTGATGCTGCTTCCCCGCGCCGCCTCCTTGGGCCCCCTTGGGCGTATTTTCTACTCCCAGTGGGGTCCCGGGCCCCCGGGCCCCCTCTTGTTTTCTGTTTTCTGTTTTTCAAAACGCCCGCCCGCCCGCCACCCCGAGGCGGCTCGGCCGCCCCCCCACAGACCCAGAGATCAAAAACGCTCGGCCCAGCGTCCGGCCAACTTTTGAGAAATCGCGTATGATGACAACGTGAAAAAAGGTGGGATTCTAGCTCCACTGGGACCGCACTCGTGTTCTCACTTCTGCGCGCTCTCGGTGGTCTCCCTGTCACTGTGTGTGGCGCGGCCGTACGTACAGACAGCTATACGCCACGCGCGTTACAGGTAGGACAGCCGTCTTTGCGGTCGCGAATTGCTACTCAATTATACCGCGTAGCAGTAGTCAGAGCCAGATGCGAGATGTGGTCGGTGGCCACGGTGCACCTTGGCCGCGTGCTGGCGGCGGCAGCGGCCGTGGCACCTGGCACGCCTGTGCGCGCGCCGCGCCCGCCACCTCACATGAAGCCGAGGTAGGCGAAGAGGGCGGTCATCACGACAGTGAGGATGTTCGACTCGGTGAAGTTGGGAGAGCCGCCGCAGTTGAAGACAATGGCGCAGACGCCCCACGCGAGGGAGAGCGCCTTGCACGTGAGGATGTCGCCGGCGCGGTCGCCAAAGAAGGTGTCCTTGTACAGAAGGATGCCAAAGTACGTGAGTGCGCCAACCATCTGCATGCGCAACGGCTCGTTCTTCGCGATGCCAAACTTCTCCTCCAGCGAGCCACCCATGAAGGGCTTATTGGGGAGGAACGTGAGGAAGTTGGAGAAGAGCGAGGCGAAGTAGATGTACATGACACAGTTGATCTTCATCGCGAGGTGCGGCGTAATAGGGCCGAGGCTGGCACCACCGCGCAACACGAGTGCAGTGTCCATCTTGGGCGACATCTTGACGGCCGGCTTGGGTGCGGCAACAAGTGCGGCGTCGAGCGGCGCACCGAGCGCGAGAACACAGACAAGGCGGACGATCGACATTCACCTGCATGCGAGGCACGATCGTGTTGGATTGTCGTCAGGGGCTAGCAGCAGGAAGACACAGTGGGAATTCATCCGCGGTGCTGGGCACCTTCGCTGAGTGGAATAGAGCTCTACCAAGTGCAATCGAACCACCTATAATGACCTTCGTTTTCTTTTTCTTTCTTTCTGCACTAAACACCCAACTAAAACAAAATTCTCTCCCATTCACTAACTAGGATTCCTACCCCGGACCACGGACCACGCCCAAGTTTTAAGAATTCGTCTTCTCTTTCGCCTGCGGAAACGACCAGCTCTCCCATTCGTGTCCCCGCCCGCCGGTCTCGGCTCGATTCATCTAGCGCATCGGACCCTCCGCTCTCCCCGCTCAGCACCGCAGCACCATGGCAAGCACCCCGCAGAAGGAACGCGGCTACTTCGTGAGCTGCCCTGCAGCCCCCATACTGCACCGCCGTCCCAGGCACTCCTGAATCGCCCCACGCACCTCTGTCCACACAGGGCGAAATGGCGGAGACGCCGGGCGGCCGAACCAGACGCCGGGCAAGGCGTCCAAGAACTTAGGGTATCCCTAGGCTTAAAAGGGTGGGCCCTGGGGCGCCTGCGGCTTAAACGGCTTAAAACCTGCCATGGCAGGTTTTAAGAGCTGCTGGGCCGCCGATTCCTTAAACGGTCTTAAACGCTTAAACGGTGCGGGAGAGCGGCTCCCGAGGTCGATGGTCCGGGAGGCTCCCGGTAGACGCCAGAGGCCGGGAAGCTGGCTACAGTCAGCTAGCACGCGCCCCCTATGCGAGTATGGCTTACAGATGTGTCTTCAGAGGCGGTTTTGTGCCTAATAACGGCGGTATTGGAGAAAACGGCGCGGAACCCAGCGACGCATGCCGGCGAGGCCGATTTTCTTAAACGGTCTTAAAAGAGGGACCCCCCGTGCCTGCAATCTCTTAAATGGCAAGTTAAGCCCCCAAACCTCCTCGTTTCTTAAAAGGTCTTTAAAAAATCCGGCCCTCAGAACCCTAGGGGTCCCCTAAGTCCAAGAAGCTCAAGGACTCCAAGTTCGGCGAGACGATCGTCGAGGAGGTGCGCTCCCGCTACACGGCCGCCCTGTCTCACGTTCCTGACCCCGCGTTGCGCCTCCTTCAGATCCAGGTGAGCGTGACCGTCATGCTGACCGGCGTCGCCCTCGTCGAGATGGGCTACGACAAGGAGAAGCGGGTGTGAGCCTCCCCCCCTCCCCTTCCCCATCTGTCTGGGCCCGTCCTGATCCCCAGTTCCCGTCGGAGTAGGACGCGCTCCAGGTCGGCATGTTCGAGATGGGCCGACACGGACCTGCCGCAGCATGTGACGCGGAACCGGATTCTCGACTTTAAAAAGTTTTACCAAGTGCAATCGAACCCACCTATAATTACATTTGTTTTCTTTTTCTTTCTTTCTGCACTAAACAGGGAGAGAGAGAGCTCGCTTCCGAGCTCTCACGCCGCGCGTAGGGCCCCTAGGGGCCTAGAGAACACAACCCCCTCTCTCTTTTCTCCCAGTAAGCTAAAAGTACGTAACAGGGAAAAGACAAAGAGCAAGATTGCACGTGTGCACCTTCGAAGTTGGAGACCCCGAAACTCGCACCCAACTAAAACAAAATCCCAAGTTTTGCTGCTCCTCGCGCGTCCGTCGCCGGGTCGCGCAAGTCGATGACGCGGCCCTCGCCGACTGAGGCTCTGCTGCCACCGTCGGAGGCTCCAGGCCGCGAGACGGCGCAGGCGCAGGCGGGCGAGGCTCTCATCAACCGCGCCTTTGAACAGCTCCACTCCGCAGTGCTCTCAAAGCATCCGATGTGGTATCTGGGCGGGCCGGAGAAGGCATGTACGCTACTGATGCTGGCGGCGCTGGATGGGGACGGCGACGGGGCTCTCACGGTCGCCGAGCGAGCCATGTACCACGCTCAGGGCGAGCGGCTCGTTGAGTCGACAAAGAACTTCCTTCTAAATGCGGGTGTGTCATGTGTGCAGTGGTCGGGGTTCACATACCACATAACAATCATACATCAGCCTTCTCACCCGAGAGCGAGAGAGAGAGAGAGAGAGAGAGAGAGAGAGAGAGAGAGAGAGAGAGAGAGAGAGAGAGAGAGAGAGAGAGAGAGAGAGAGAGAGAGAGAGAGTTGAGATGCTCAACCTTGATCATCGAGAAGCAGACCTCTCCTAGGTGTCATCGCGGCGCTTGTGCTCAGCATCGTGTACCAACTCGCATACGAGGAGAACGAGTCACTCAAGGAGCTCGCAGGCGCGACTGGTTTCTGTGCACGCTCGTTGTATAATGGAGCACTTTCGAGAGTGCTGCCGCGCGCCTCAGGCGCCAAGGACTGGATGCAGCTCGCGAGGTTCGCGGACTTGACTTCATTCGTGGCGATGCAGTGCGCCATCTCGACGGCGATTGCCACCGTGCTGCTCTCGTCGCGGCTCTACACGTAGACGACAGCCGGGCTGTGGCGCCTGAAGCCGCAGTCTTCCCACCCCATACGGCGAGGAGAATGATGCGTGTAGGCAAATCTCCTTCTGGATGCCTAACCTCGAGTGCCAGCTCTGGCTCATCAACGAGGTGTTGACATGGCTGATGGCACGGCCCGAGACCTCGAGACCTCGAGAGAGGTCGCCCCGCGTGAACAGGCGGCGAGTACAACCTCGGTGCTCGAGGCGGCCAAAACCGTGCACCGGCCCACTTTCGAGGTGCGGCGCGATGAGAGCCGTCGCCCGCTCGACCGTGAACAGGCGTGCAAGAACCTGACCATCTTCGCCACGCTTCTCGCCCTCGCCCTCGAGACGGCCGTCACGGGGACGTGGCTCGACTACGTTGGGTGACAGCTACCGGATCACATACTGCACTCTGGCAGCTGCGAGGTCCTCCCCTCCCACCCCCCACCGCCCCCGACGGGCAGGTACATCCCGCTCGCAGTGCTCACGCTGACCTTTGCGCTGCACGAGCTGCTGCTGAGCCGCAGATGCGTTGAGCGGCTCAACGGCGAGCTGCGCCGGCTCGTGGCGAGCCGGCCCCGCCTGTCGACCGCGTATCGGCCGTACTCAGCTGCAAGGTAGGAACGCACGGTTTCGGTGTCACGGGGTGGGGGGTGGCCGGGAGGGGGGGGGGGGGGCACGAGTTTTGGGCGGGTCACCTACCTCAGGCGCGAACGTACGAAAGGGCTGCGCGCCTGGTGCAGGAGCCCCAGGTGGGTAGCGGTAGGGCACAGGCCGCGGACCAAACCTCTCTCCTCCCGGTCTCTCCCACTGTCCCAAGACCCAAAAGCAAGTGGTCCGACCGAGCGGACTCGGTCTGCGTTTTGGACCCGCGGGCCGCGACGCGCGCCGCGGCTAACACGGTGTTGCAACCGTCCAAATGTTTGGCTGCTCGCGCCTTGTCCACCGAAGCCTTCAGCGACCGCTCTCTTTACGGGGATTTACGTAAAACGCACACAACCCCGGGCCACGGGGATTTACACCACATAGGTTTTTGCTCGCCTTCCCTGGGACCCCGGGTTGCATGTCTGACTGTCACTGTGCGATTTCGGGCCCGGGGTTGTGCCCCCCCCCCCCCCCCCCCGGCGAGGTACTCCCCGCACACCTCTCGGGGTTTTAGTCTGGCCGAGTCAACCCGAGATGCTGGGGCGAGCCTCGGCCTGGCGAGGTACTTCCAGCCTGCTGTGGGAACAGCTGACGCAGTCTCGGGTTGACTCGGCCAGACAAAAACCCAGGCGTGGGAGTACCTCGCCAGGCCTCGGCGAGACTGCGTCAGCTGTTTTCACAGTGTAACTGACGCCCCTCGGGCGCTTCGCCCCTCGCTGGAATGCTGACCATCGACGCCTCGGTCCACGGCTCTAGCGGCAGTCTAGTCCGGTTCATCCCTCCCGTGCTCTTCCTCTCACTCCCGATCTGGGTCTGCGCCTTCTCCTCTTGGCCCGGGCCGCCGCTCGCTCTCGCCCTCGCCGTCGTCGCGGTGCTGCCGCGCCTGCTGTGGCAGCCGTCACAGCCTGCCGAGGGCGCGCGCTTTCTGGTCGCAAGCGCGCTGTACCAGAACTTTGTGTACCCTTGCTTCTTCGGATCGCCGATCCTGCTCGCCGTCGCCTGCTGGCTCCGGCCGCTGGTCTGGCTCCCTCTCACGGCCTACCACCGGCATTCGGTCGCCGCCGCGTCCAGCGAAGTGCGTGTGTGTCACCACCGGCCGGTGGCGGGTAGGCATTGTGGCTCCTCTTTGCGCGCGTCCTTTCACGGCCTGACCTACGCAGCGGGATGCCCTGGGAGGACTTTGCCAAGCACGACTGGGGCATCGTTGCGTTGCGGCGCTTCCTGCGGCTGAGGCTGCACGTGAGCGAGGAGCTGCGCTCGCGGCCCGCGTCGCAGCCCGTGGTGATTGGCATCCACCCGCACGGCATCGCTAGCGACTACCGCGTCGCATACGACGGGCGCCTCCACGCCTCTTGCGCACCGGCCCGATGAGAGAAGGCAGCGCTCGAGGAACGGCGGGGCGCCTGTCTTTTAGGCTGCTCTACGACGCCCTGCCTGGCCGGCCCGTCTTCACGCTCGCGGCGTCGGTGCTCTTCGCGCTGCCGCTCGTGCGCGAGCTCTGCCTCTGGACGCGCTGCATCGACGCCAGCAAGCGGGTCGCCTCCGCAGCGCTGCGGCGCGGCCTCTCGCTGGCGGCGAGTCGCTACAACTTGGCTCTCTCGCCCGGCCGCCCTGGCGGGTGTCTCACCCTCGCCGCCCGGCCCTCCTCCCCAGGTGATCCCTGGCGGCGAGGCGGAGCAGATGCTCACCCGCACCGGCGTCGAGGAGGTCCTCCTCGCCAGGCGAGCCGGCTTCGTCAAGCTCGCCCTCTCCCGAGGCTCCGCCGCCCCGCCGCCTGTGTGTGGGGCGAGGCGCGTGTCCGAGGACGCGTCCCCGACGTGTGTGCCGTCAGGCGCCGCGCTCGTGCCCTGCTACGCCTTCGGCACGGTCGACCTGTACTCCGTCTCGGGCAGCCAGCACGGTGCCAACTCGCAGGGCCTCCTGTGGACGGTGCACAAGAGGCTCGGCGTCGCGCTGCCGCGGTACTCGGGCTCGTGCGGCTTCTTGCCCAAGCGAGGCGAGGCGGCACCGCGAGCTCCGACGCCCGCAGAGCACACTGCGACCGCCCCACACCCGTCCCTGCTCGAGGTGCACGCCTCCTCGCCCGCAGGCCGCTGTGACCTTGTGTTTGGCGCGCCCATCGAGGCGCAGTGCGCGACACCGGGCGAGCCGTCGGAGAGCGAGGTCGCCGCCGCGCACGCTACGTACATCGCCGCGCTCAAGGCGTTCGCCGGGCGGCAAAGAGGCGCAGCCCGGCTCGGCTGCGGTGGGGTCACTGGCACGTCGACGCTGTTAGGCGCTCTTCGAGGAACACAAGGGGCGGCTTGGCTACGGAGACCGCGAGCTGCGCGTGGCGTGAGAAGGCCTGCCGGACCAGTGCCGGACGTGCGGAGAGAGGCCGCGCGGGTGGCGCGGGTGTATCGTCATGCGATATGGCACATGTGCAGTGTACGGTGCGTGCAGAGAGAAGAGAGATAATATAACACTTCATATGCGCAGCGAGTTACGTCATTTTGTACTTTCCGATTTCTCGGAATAATTTAGTCTTACAGAGTCAGGACGAGCTACGGCGCGTGGGCCGCGGCGAGGCTTGCACGCAGTCAGGGTCACAGCGCCTCGCCGCACAAGACAGACGACACAAAAGAGTTGTATATAATGCCCTCGCGGCACATGTTCGCATGCCGTACGGAGGTGATGCCCCCTCCTCTCATGCCAGAGTGGGCCGTGTCCCACGGAGCGCGCACCGCCTCGGCCCCCACGCCCCAAGCAGTGGGGGGGTCTCGAGGCGGCGGCGGCGGTTCGGATAGCGCGCGCGGGAAGAGGGCGGGGCAGCAGCCCGCAGCCGCCCCCGCCCCCCCGCGTTAGGGCTGCGGTCGCGACACGTAAGCGGAGGCCGCGCCGCCACCGTGGAGGCTAGCGACGGCGGGCGGCCTCGCCGCGCCGCAGCGGTTAGAAGTCGGCCTCGACGGAGAAGCAGGCGTTGGCGGCCGAGTCCTCCTTGAGCGAGTCCATCACGCCCGACTTTTGGTACTCGCCGACGCGCTTCTCGAAGAAGTTTGTCTTGCCCTGCAGCGAGATGAGCTCCATCCAGTCGAACGGGTTGCTCACGTTGTACATCTTGTCGCAGCCGAGGGCGACGAGCAGCCGGTCTGCGACAAACTCGATGTACTGAGACATCATGCCCGCGTTCATCCCGATGAGGGCGACGGGCAGCGCGTCTGTCACGAACTCCTTCTCGTGCGCCACCGCGTCGCTCACGATGCCCTGCACCGTCTCCTGCGGCAGCTTCTGCTCGAGCATCGAGTAGAGCAGGCAGGCAAAGTCGCAGTGCATCCCCTGGCGGCGGCAGAGGGGCGGTGGGGTGGGCGTGCCTGGGGGCCTAGGGGGTTGGCTGTGTGTGTGTGTGTGTGTGTGTGTGTGTGTGTGTGTGTGGTGGTGGGTGTGTGTGTGTGTGTGTGTGTGTGTGGTGGTGGTGTGTGTGTGTGTGTTGGTGGTGGTGGTGGTGTGTGTGTGTGTGGGTGGGGGGGGGGGGGGTGAGTGCCGCGCCTCGTCGCGCGAGATGAGCTCGTTCGAGAAGGTGAGGCCGGGCATCAGCCCGCGCTTCTTGAGCCAAAAGATGGAGCAGAAGGAGCCGGAGAAGAAGATGCCCTCCACCACCGCGAAGGCGATGAGGCGCTCGGCGAAGCACTTGGACTCGGAGATCCAGCGGACGGCCCAGTTGGCCTGCGGGGCGGCGGCGGGTCAGCCGCGGCGCTCGTGCCGTGGTTGGGCGGGAGGGGGGCGGGGGCGTGGTGTTCGGCGCTCCTTCTTAGTGACGCACGGGACGGTCTCGATGGCGTTGAAGAGCATGGCCTTCTCGGTGGGGTCCTTGATGTACTGGTCGATGAGCAGGCTGGCGGCGGCCGAGGGGGGGGCGAGGTTAGCCGTCCGCAGCCCTCGGGAGGAGGGAGGGGGTTAGAGCGGGGACGAGGGCACGTGGGGAGGCGGCAGGGAGGTGTGCGGCCGAGACTGGAGAGGGGGAGTGTGGGTCGAGGTCGGCCGAGGATCGGGTCTGGGGGCAGCGGTGGTGCGGCGCGGGCACCGGGGCGCGCCGGTTCGCCTCGCGCGGCCGCGAGGGTAGTAGGGCGGCGGGGGCTGGGAGGGGAGGCGAGGCGCGGGGTGTGCGAGGGAGGCAGCTGCGCCTGTACGTCTCGGAGTGGATGTTCTCCATGGCGATCTGGAAGCCGTAGAAGCAGCGCGCCTCGGGGATCTGAACCTCGGACGCGAAGCGCTCCACCAGGTTCTCGTTCACGATCCCGTCCGACGCGGCGAAGAAGGCGAGGACGTGCGAGACAAAGTGCCGCTCGTCGGCCGTCATGTTGTTCCAGTCGTTCTGGTCGTGCTGCGGCGGAGGGAGGGCGGCGCGGCGGGTGAGGCGCGGGCGGCGGAGGCGTGCCGCGGCCGCCACTCGCGGCCCGGGCGCGGCAGCCGCCGCGCAGGGCCGGCGCCACTGCTGGTGGGTGTGCGGCGGCGCGCAGCCGTTTTTCCCGCTGACTCCGCAGCGGCAGGGTGACACGCGAGGGCGTGCGAGGGAGGCGTGCGAGGCGGCGCACCGCGAGGTCGATCTCCTCGGCCGTCCAGAAGGAGGCCTCCGCCTTCTTGTACATCTCCCACACCTGCGGATGCTTGATCGGGAAGAGCACGAACCGCTGCTTGTTCTCCATGAGGAGCGGCTCCTTGGCGTCGTCCGGGTGCATCGGCTTGGAGGTGGACTGCGTCATGGTGGTCGGCTGCGCGCAGGGCGGGGTCGGGGCGCGCTCGGTCGAGGCGGGGCAAATCCGAGCGGCGGACAGGGCAGATGTACCGGAAAGAGGTTGCTTCGGTGGACAACCCGTCCCGCCCAAACAACGGCTGATCGCCGTGAAGCGGGGAAGTGTCGCAGAATCAAAGAGCGCGACCTGGTGCTCTCCTGCCCCCGGCGCAGGTACGGAGGTTGCAACAAATTAGCCGCGTCAGTCGGACAGACAGACGGCGACACAACGACGGTCACGCAGGAACGCCGCGTTCAATGTACTTCAATGACAACGTCTATGGTCTATCTATGTGAAACTTGAGCAAGCAATACATGTACGAGTACGAGAGAGAGAGAGAGAGAGTGAGTGAGTGAGAGTGAGAGAGAGAGAGAGAGAGAGAGAGAGAGAGAGAGAGAGAGAGAGAGAGAGAGAGAGAGAGAGAGAGAGAGTTAGCTGCATATTCCATATATATATTATACCCTCCATCCATTACCTAAATAAAAATCCAAGAGAGTAGTAGGAAGGCGGGAGAATCCAAAAAAATCCGGCAAACTCTGAGACGAGATGGGATTTAGGAGTACTTTAGGTAGGGAAATGCCGCCCTGCTCGAGACGAGAGTCGAGTACGCGAGTACGCCAGTGTAGCCCAGTCAGTACCTTCTGTGTGATGAACTGATGATCCACCATGTGATCCACGCATGAAATTTCCTGCCTTGATGTAGATAGTTAAGATAGTAGAAAGCTTGAGGAGGGACGAAGCGCGCGCGCGGTGTATGCCGCTATCTGCCTTCCTTCTGTAGTGTTGTGTCTCGCTCTCTCGCTCTGGCGCACGCTGGCGGCGGTAGCCGCTGGCGGCGCTCCCCCTCCCGGTCCCGCGCCTCGCTCCCCGGGACTCCCCCCCCGGTGTGCGGCGGCGGTGTGCGGCCGCCTATAGCGGTATAGCGGGCGGCCGCGCGCGGTCGAGAGAGGCCGGGGGGTCGAGAGAGGCCGCGCGCGCGCGGCGCGTGCGGGCGACACCATCGCCACGGCGCACAGGCCGTGCCCGACCGTTTTCTGACGCGCGCTGTGAACTGCACAGCTTGCCGCCACAGGCTTCGCACAAAACTCGTGTGTTTTTGTGCCGGTGCCCTCCCCGCACACACCCACACACGCGACACCCTTCTCTTTCAGATGCCCATGCCCTGACCAAAGACCACGTAGGACGTGTCGAGCGGCAGCGGGGCCCCAGAGGGCGCCGCCTTGGTTTGGTTGGGCTTGGGCGGCAGCATTCTCGCCGGCGACCCCACCGCCGTGTAGCCGGCCGGCACCGGTTTGTTGACGAGAGCCTACAGCAGAGGGGCGCCGTTGTCCGGCTCGGGCACGAGGAGCGTCCCAAGGGAGGCTGTGTGGGAGGGGAGGCGCCTGCGCGCCGACAGTGGCGCCCGCGCCGACCTGGATGTTTCCGAGGACGGTCGACTTGCAGGCGAGGAAGGCGCCGCGCCCGATCTTTGGGTGGCGGTCGTGGTCGAGCGAGGTGCCTAGTTGACCGATTCAATGTTTAACCCACCCATCCCGGCCATCTCTGTGCGGCGGGCGTGGTGGAGCGAGGCGCCCGTCGCGCCGAGGGTGACGTCGTGCATGATGTAGACGTTATCGCCGATCACGGCCGTCTCGCCGATGACGCAGCCGGTCCCGTGGTCCATAGTGATGCCTCGGCCCCACCTGGCAGCCGGGTGGATGTCGACGCCAAACGCGTCCGACATCTCGCTCTGGAGTGCGAGCGCGATCCACCGGCCGCTGCCGTTGGGCTGGTTCCACCAAAAGTGGGCCACGCGGGCGCACTGCACCGAGTGGAACCCCTTGAAGAAGAGGTAGATCCGCAGGAAGCCTGCGAAGGCGGCGTCGGGCACCACAGTCAGCGCCTCTCCAACGACGGCTGATGAGACACAGGTGGCCAGAGCGTGGTACAGGGATGCGCTTTCTAGGGCAGCAAGCCGTCCGCCGCAGGGTCCATCGCAAGGAACCGCTCGAGGTCCGCTGCGGCTGCGTCGACGATGCTGGCATCGGCGGCGTAAGCGGCGGAGCACATGGCGGCGTAGTCCAGACCAGTGGCGCCGTCTTCGAGCTTGGCGCCGATCGTTGCGCTCAGCCCGTCCGCGAGCGACCCGTGCGAGAGCACTCGCTGCTCTATCAGGTCTCGCAGGCCATAGCCGCGCTTGACGCTCGAGGCAATTGCCTCGCGCGCCTCGCTCTGGAGCTTGCTCCAGGTGCTCTGCGTGTCGATAGTGGTCTGCAGGCTGGACGTGCTGCTGATGCAGCGGCGGAGCCGCAGCGAGCACGCACGTCGCGCCGCAAGCAGGGGTGTTCGCCGGCTAAATCGAAGCATGTCGACCTTCCGGCCGATTTTTGCCACCACCCCACACACACTGAGAGAGAGACCCCCCCCCCCCCCTTCCCGCCTCTCATTTGTGTCACACCACGCGGAACGCATCTCCATCGCTTCAAGAGAGAGAGAGAGAGATTTGAAAATCAACAAGAAATCACGACTCTCACAGTGATTTGGGCTCGGCAGCTTGTCAGCTGTGAGTGAGGGAGGGAGGGTGTGTGTGTGTAGAGGATGTAGAGTGTAGAGCGCTGTAGAGCTGTAGAGTCAGATGTAGAGCGCTTGATGCACAGCAGCGTTTGTACGTCTCACACGTTTTGCAAAACTCCTGCTCCTCTGCCTCAGAATTTCTCTGTGTAGGGCGAGCCTGCTTTCTTGTAGCAGAGCAGAGCTCTCTACATGAGAGTTCCTGATCAACGCCTTGTGGCTCGGCAATGGCCAAGAGGTTCAATACCCGAGGTGTGTTGCTCAATGCTCTGCGCGTTTGCTCTTGTGATCGTGGATTTCAAGGTCCCAATCCTCGCGGCTGAGGATTGACACCGTTCGCTCGCGTGAGATTTTTCAGCGGCAGATGAACCAGCGCTGGAGCCCATCATGGCACATGCTGGAGGAAGGAGGGCAAGGGTTTTGCAGATTCTCCGACTCACGCCCACTGCTGCTGACCGTGCGTGGCTACTGTTGAGAGGGTTTCTCATGTGGCGTCGGGCGTGCGAGTGAGCGGTCTTGCGCGCATGCGTCTATATCTTGAGTGTCCTGTCTCTCTCGTTAGTGGCACCACACACTGTCCTGCGGGGGTGCTCATGACAGCAGCAATGACAGCAGCAATGACAGCAGCAATGACAGCAGCAATGACAGCACAGCAGCAGCAACGACAGCGATGACAGCAGCAATGACAGCAGGAATGACAGCTGCGCAATTACAGCAGCAGTGACAGTTGGACCAGTCGGGGATGGTTACGACAGCAGCAACTCAGCAACGACAGCAGCAACGACAGCAGCAACGACAGCTGGTGACAGCTGGTGACAGCTGGTGACAGGTAGGTGTCACTGTCGCTGTCGTTTGCTGTCATGACAGCTGGCAGCTGTCATGACAGCGGCTAACCGTCGTGACAGCGGCTAACCGTCATGACGTGAACTTTCCATAGTCTCTCACGCCGCGCGTAGGGCCCTTAAGGGCGCGTAGGCCTAGAGAACACCATCCCTATTCTCCCAGAAAGTTAAAAGTACTCTTCGTCTTCGAGTCAACACACACCAGTCTACACGGGCATCCACAAAAAACAAACTGCGCACGCGCATCGCATCCCGCCGCGCACTACCGTACGTATGAAGGTCCGGATCAGCAGAGCCGACGCTGTCCGCGCTGCAATCACCGCTGCGTGCACCATCCCGCTGAGCGTCCCGCTGGCCGCGCGAGCAGATCTGAACCAGGGCGCGCTGGGAGCCACGTGCGTTGGCTTTGGCTGCAACGACTACCGAGGGCAGGATTTCAACGGGATGCCGGCGCCGGGAGGTGAGGATTACGTCTCGGAGAACACGCTGCAGGTTGTGAGGCCGGCGGAGCGTGGCAGCATGCCTTACTCCGAGTTTCTGCAGGCGCTCAAGGACAAGAGAGTCCTGGGCGTCGATTTCATCGCTCCCAACGGCGACGAGGTCTACGCCGGCAGAGTCCCGGCGCCACAACACTCGCCAGCAGCAGCCTGCGCCGTCTCTCGCGCGCATAGGCGTACGCGCTCGTCAAGGACTCGGGCGGCACAAAGAGCTGCAGCGCCATCAACCCGGATGCTCCCGTGGTGGACGGCGTCTGCCGGCTCCGGATGGGCGAGGGGTGGCCCGTGGAGGCGGCGGCGATAGCGGCACCAGCAGAGCCGACAGGGAGGGGTGGGATGACGCCCGCGGCACGCCGAGCAGGTGTCAAACTCCTGGTCGTCTCCCTCGTGGGTCGTCCGCATCCTCGACAACGAGCAAGTGCCCCACGCCCTCGTGATCGATCTCAAGAAGAAGCCGCAGCGGGCCGTGTACCCAAAGGCGGGCGGCGTCGCCAAGCTCTGACTCGCGTGCAGCCGCGCAACGGCGAGATGGACTGCATGTAGAGACGAGTTGGTGCGGGGCGCGAGGTCGGGCATGGTGGCAGTGTGCGCCGAGAGGCGGGTCCGGCAGATAACCGCATGGAGAGCTGTCAAACGTTAAGAGCTGAACAGTGTTGCTAGTGTTAACAGTAACAACAAAACAACAGTGGGGCTCCCCAACAACAGTAGCTAACGTTAGGCCAGCTGAACAACAGTAAGGAAGGCCTGGCAGTGACCCACGACGATCTCCAGCGTCCAGTGCGGGTAATACCCGAAAATACCTGGAAAACCCCAGGTATTTTCGGGTTTTACCCGGGTTTTTTGGCATTTTCTGCTTGCTGGCCACTGAACAACTTCACTCGGTGCCCGGCCCCGCGGCGCGGAGCGCGCGGGTGGCACACAGCTCAGTGTCCGCTGGTCACTGTCACTCTGGGCCGGCGCGGGGGCCCCCGGCCCACACCGTGCGCCGCGCAGCAGTTGCGGAAACGGGGCTCCGGCTCTATGAGTCTCTATGAGCACCAACTTCCCGATCTAACCCGGTCTAACAGAGGGCGGATTCGGA